GGGTGCATTGCCTAATCTCAGGGAAGACAGAATTAAGAGCAAGTCATGAAATGACCAAAAAAAAATAGAAATTTGCCTGTGTACACCCAAACCAGCTGTAGAATGCCATTGTAATACAGAATTAACTAAAGATTTTTAGTAATAACCTTTTAGTTATGACAAATGCGGCTCTTGTAGCATAGTGGTAGTTTAGTAGTAATAAATCTATCGTTGTGAATAATAGTCATTTTAAGAGCTTTTGTTCATAATGCAATAAGGTACATAAGACAGTAAGACAAAAGTTAACAAAGCTTGTGAAAGAGAACCTAGGACCTGCAACAGCATTTCCTGCAGGGATCCAGCTGACGTGAGCTGTTTATCTTTTCCTTGACTGTTTTGTGCATCTTCAGTTTCATGCCACAAGCGCTACCAAAATGTATCAGGTGTCTCCCAATGGAGGGAGCAGATCCACACGATATTTCATTTTGCATGTGGCTCTGCTGTCCCCGCTGAAATTACGTAGTGAGGAAAGTCATATGTGGATAAAAGCCCTCCTCTGTTGCACTCTGTGGGTGCATCACAGACAACACATGTGGGATTCTGGATTTGAGCTCTGGGCTTCTGCAGAGAAATAGCAAACTCCAGATGAGTTCATAAAATGTTTCACACAGATTTGAACAACTGGACAGAGAATCGGTGATTATCATAAACCATTTGGAACGAGAATAGAAAATAATTAACTTGTTTATGTTTTTGGTATAGGCAACTGAAAGTATTAAAATGCTAGTCACGCTTTGCCAGTCTGACAATGAAGAGATCAGGAAGATAGCCTCTGAAACCCTTCTTTCTCTTGGTAGGTTGACTAACTTTATGCCATTCCACTATTAAATAAATAAAATAAGACAGTAAAAGCAAACTGGTGAAAAAATGGGACAAAAGCAGAGAGTGGGGTGTGGGTAATAGAAGAGCAATGACAAAGAGAAAGTAGGAAGCACTAGCACAGCACGGGTGAGTCCCAAACTCTTATTTCTCCATAACATCTGAATCAGGAGAGGCAGTGCAAGCCCTCAGTCAGTGGCTGGATGCAATGGTGGGTTGGACTGAGCAGTCAATGAACTCAGCTTGGACCCTAGGAAGACAGGGGTGGGTGGGTGGCTCCTACGTGCGGGAGATAGATCTGTCACCTGTTCTAATTGCCGTTGCACTCCCTCTGAAGGAGCAAGTCTGCAGTCCTCTGTGGCTAGGGGTGCTTTCTACAAGCTCTGGCCACTATGCCAGCTGTTACTGTTCCTGGACCACAGTAGCTTAACCGCAGTGACCCACACATTGGTAACATCAAGACTTGATTACTGTAGCACACTTTATGTGGGGCCACTCTTGTATCTGGTTCAGGAGTTGTAGCTGGTGCAGAACACAGCAGCCAAACAGCTCACAGGAGCAAGTTACCGGCAATGTGTTTACTCCTCTGCTGAGATGTCAATTTGCTGGTTGCCAATTTGCTTCTGAGCTAGCTTCTTTTGCTAATTCTCAAAGCCCCCCCCAAAACCCTTGGGCTCAAAGTACCTTAAGATCCCTTATGCTCCATCTAATCACCGAGATCCTTTGATGGGGCACTTCTTCCACACCCGAGGTTTGGTCAGCCTTTATTAGGGATTGAGCCTTTATTGTGGCAGGCTCTGCCCTGCAGAACTCCCTGCGGTAGAGGTTCAGCAGGAATTATTCCTGCCCTTCCTTTAGGCATCTCCTAAAAGCAGTGCTGTTCAGACAGGCCTTTGCAATGCAAATTTCTTTTTCCCAACCAACATTTATTGCTTTTTTAATAGACGCTTTTGTTGCTCCTGCTGTTTTGTATGGTATATACCTCTTTGTTGGGACGCGGGTGGCACTGTGGGTAAAAGCCTCAGCGCCTAGGGCTTGCCGATCGAAAGGTTGGCGGTTCGAATCCCCGCAGCGGGGTGCGCTCCCGTTGCTCGGTCCCAGCGCCTGCCAACCTAGCAGTTCGAAAGCACCCCCGGGTGCAAGTAGATAAATAGGGACCGCTTACTAGCGGGAAGGTAAAGGCGTTTCCGTGTGCGGCTCTGGCTCGCCAGAGCAGCAATGTCACGCTGGCCACGTGACCCGGAAGTGTCTCCGGACAGCGCTGGCCCCCGGCCTCTTGAGTGAGATGGGCGCACAACCCTAGAGTCTGTCAAGACTGGCCCGTACGGGCAGGGGTACCTTTACCTTTTTTACCTCTTTGTTGGGGTCTGCAAAAGTGGAACTTTACAAATATTTAAATCCATAAATTTGCAGCCACTGAACAGCACCTAACCTTCCCTTAATGCAGTGGTTCTCAAAGGGTGTAGCAGGAAAGAATGGCAAGCATGGCAGGAGATTCAAGGACAATCAGTATACTGTTTTGGGAATAATTCATGTTCTTACGTAGCTGCATTGTTTTATATTTTCTGGATGTCCCATGATCATGTTATAAAGTAGTTGTGTTCTATGTTATAAATCAAGCACTGCTAGTTGTTTCTTTTTGTTTTCCAATGTATTTATCACTTTTTAAAAAGTTGGTGTGGCACAAGCATATTTTTATTCTGAAAGTGTAGCCTGGAGAACCTCTGAGTTCATGTGACATTTGCCTTGCTTCTCATTTTTCTCTGCTCAGGAGAAGATGGACGGTTGGCATATGAGCAGCTAGATAAATTCCCTCGTGAATTTGTTAAGGTTGGTGTACGACGTGGGACTGAGGTAGCCACAGCCTTTTAAGAGTTTAATCTGCATATTAACACAACAGCTTCAGAGGCTGGTCTTCTTTAACAACAACGGTGCTGTAGCTGAACTGCAAGAAGATTCACAGGTGTTCGAAGAAGAATGAATCTGAGGGCTCTTACTAGCTTCGCTCTGTAACTTATAATGAAAACAGTGATTTGTCAAAGATTGCATTGCTTTGCTTTTGAGTGAAACTAGGTCACTGCCATACAGTCAGCCTCGGCAAATACAACAGATGTTTTGTAATCATAAATGAGGTATTTTAAATTGTATATGGTGGGTTTTCTGTGAATATAATTGCATCAGTTTAAAACTTTGTGATGCTTCCTCTAAATTGGTGGAAAGGAAAAAGCAAACTGAGTAGGACTTTTAACAGCAGTTATGACTCCCATCTGTGCTGTGCCTCAGTTGCCTTCAAGTATCTCCTGCCTTGTTTTTGTTATCAGTAGCACCATTTAGTATGAACAATCTTCAGATGACGGGCCTGACTCTGGAAACAGCAGGATGCAAACTCCAGGTTTCAGTAATTCTGACTCATTTCTTATTTCCATTCTTGCTCTTTTCTGGCTTCCAGTAATGACCTCTAATAAATCCCAAATTATTTTTTAAAATTAAAACAAACAAACATTCTCAAGCAGTCGTGCAGGTTGTATAAAACAAATAGGTGTTTTCCTTTTTTCCAGAAAGGGCATATGGCCACATTATACTTTTCCATGAAAACACCAAGATTTAATCTTCCTTTCCCCTTCCTTGACATTTCAAAAAAGAATGAGGTTTTGTGCATTTATAGCTGGGAGCTACAATGATTTCAATGTAAAAGAGAACAAGTGGTGGAGATCTCTGGGACTACGGTACTTCAAATTGAGTCGTACACACACACACACACACACACACACTATCTGCAACAATCAAGGTGACAGAAAGCATGCTATGAGGCTAGTTTTCTTAGAAGTAAATCCCAGTGTGCAATGGTGGTTACTCCCAAGTTACTAATGCATGGATTGTAACTTGAAGGTGTTTTATTGAAGCCCTCATCAGACAATAAAGAGCTCATAGCTCTTCAACCATTGGGCACTCCTCCTTGGAGACATACAGATTGTGAAGTGCTGGTTGTTGGTTTTTTTAAAATAAATTTAACAGAAGTCTTTCCCTCCTTTTTTGCCAAAATGCATTGGCAAGCCAGTATTCTTAATTGTTAATGTTGTAACACTGTATATACCTGTATATTATAAATTATAAATATTCTGATTAAAAGCTGTACAGTCACTCAAAGGTTTTACTGAAGGGGGAAAGTCTCTTTTATGAAATGTGAAATAAGTAATTGTGCTCTGGTTTTTACAGCACATTGCTGCCACAAGCCTACAGTCTTTCATTGTCATCTTTTGTATTGATTTTTGGCTTACATTTGCCTTCTAGGTTTGTGGTATTTGTACTTCTCATATATACGGCTCCTGTTTAAGTTATAATAAAGATTATTTTTGAAATACTAAATAGCATTGTTTTTACTTTGGTCGACTTATTTCTTCCACCAATGCTAGACCTGGACTTCCAACTTGATCAAGATGGTAGTTCTGAGAGAAAAACAGCAAGTAACCTCAAATGACAATATGTCCAGGTATCCCGTACACTGTCACCCCAGCTTTGTTTGCCTATAAATATGTCAGAAGAGTTGGCAGAAAACATGTTTCAGCACTAGGGAGAAAGCACTGCAAAACTGCCTCCCTTCTCTTTTGAGTTTTTAAAGCTACAGCAAAGATCTGCAAGTACACCTGGAAGTCTGAGTGGGCTGCCTGCAGACAATTGCTGAATTACCTCCAGGAAACTTTGGAGAGCAACTAGTCCTTCTGCAAGTTTGTTGGGAAGATGGTAGTAGAGGTGGTGTTTGGATTTGCCAGCCTCCACCGCTGGACAGGTAAGGGAAAATAGCTCTATCTGTAAGAAGGTATGATCAACAATAAAGTATTGGTTGTGGAGGGAAACAAGTTTCTTTACAGAGATAATTTAGACCCATGGGGCAGAAGGATAAATCTCACTTTTTAAAAAATGTGAAAATATAACATTGGCTTAACCCATCACCAACCGCAGGATAGGATAGCTAAGAATCTACGCAAGTATGACATCATACTATCTCCGTTTTCCATTCTATTTACTGCACTCATTGCCTAGTTACCAGCTGTGTGGGCTTGCGAGTCAAATGTGAATCAATACTTCAGTGTCCCAACACTTCCCTGTGGGTAGAGTGAAATACAGCTTTAGAAAGACATTTTTCCTGAAACCAGTCTTCAGGCAATATGGGAAGCAAGTTTAGCAAAATAGCAGCCTGGTATAACAAGCATATCAAGCATGAGAGGGAACCCGCAATCAAGCTCATAGACCCTGTCTTTCACCACCATAAAATCAAAACCTACGGCATTGAGCTGAGAGATCCAGAGCTGCCCCTGGAGGACAGAGCCACAGCTGCATTGTATATTGGACTTCTAACTTACACAGGTATGCATGTAAATAGACAACAGCTGCCAGTTTGAGAAAAGTGTATTGTCCAACTAAGTTATAGTTGGGTTAGGCCCATTAAAATGAAGAGACCAAAGTTAATTGTGTCCTAGTCCAAGTAGAAACAACACTAGATATGACTGAGTAAATGTGCAGTAAAATTGTAAGTATGTTTAATAGCTCAAGTGTCAGGATTCAAGGGACTCCATCTCATGGCTAGGAAATCTCTCAATTTACATTAGCCATTAAAAACGGACAAATATTCAGGCATAGCAGTGTTCCAGCATATTAGTGAAATAATCAGTAACATGTCTTCCTTTACAGGTGGTGTCAATGCTGCTTTGCTTGCATCAGAATACATTCAGGATATGATTAATATTTTGCTTATGCCAGACACTTCTGGGGAAGTGAGGACCTATGTATTAAAAGGGTTGTGTGGCATTTGCTACCTAAGCTACTTAAACCAAAATGAAGCCAAAGACAGACATCTTATGGAAATTCTCCTTGCTTATCTGGATGAAGATGAAAACCCTGAAGATGATGACCCTCTAGATATAATCACTATGAAGCTCTGGGTTTGCTACCTTATGACTGTTGTCTGCTGTAACAACATCCCTTATCTCAGGTTATTTAATGAAGTGGGTGGCCAAAAGCTACGTAAAAGTCTGGAGTCCCTGTCTAAGTTGGAATGGTTTAGCTGGCCGCAAAACTATGCCAAGTTAATGCTAGCGCTTCTAGCCTACCAAGAACAGATAAAAGAATCACTAACAGGTAGAGCTAAGAAATCCAGCTTACAATAAAAGTGCCAGGTGATAAATGGTGTTTGGGGAAGTATCCAGAAATACTAAGTAAATTATTGGTTGGGGCTGACATATAGCATACATATGTACTACACTTCTGTTCTCAAAGGTTTAAAGGGGGTGGGTGGGAACTATTATTCCGTGTCCATTACCTTTTAAATAGCTGGCTTAGACTTGCAATATATGTTCTAAAGTACAGCATTTTACAACTGTGTAATATCTGTGCAGAGAAGTTTATTTGGCAGTTCCACATATATGAATAAAAAACTATTTACAAATTGAAATACATAGTATTCCCATTTAATCAAGTAACCAGATGAAGTCTAACACTTCCATTACACTTCCACCGCTGCAAAACCCACCCTTTGAAATTTCAAGTGAATCTTTAGATTTCAAAGGATTCTACTCTTCCCCACCCCAGACATGACACATGGGCAGTTCATTTTCCCTTTCAGAGGCCCAATACTTTCAGAGATTACTTGTTTCATTTGTCAGCAGATCTGTAGAATTCCTCGAGAGCTGTGAAGGTTCCCCTTCAGTTTCTCCATCTAAATCCTCCTCAGTAGAATCACTTTCCTCATATGCAATTTCTTCCAGGTCTAGATTTTTCAGTGTCTCTAGACTTTCTGGTGCCTGTCCAGTTAGTCGCTAGAGAGGTATGATGAGACATTAGTGATACTGTCAGAACAGTGGTAGAATTTAGCTTTTGAAGCCAAGTAATATATTATACAGCAGTTAACTTTTTTAGAGATATTACACCAGAACTACATGCTTTATACAACAATTTGCAAAGCACCTTACACATTCTCCTAATAACATTATCTTACATGGCGGTCAGAATTATTATCTTACTTCAAATCGTGGGGGGTGGGAGGGAAGGGAGAATAATGCAGAGGCAAGATACAGGATTCTGTGCTGTTAAGACCTGGTTGAGATGAAGTAAAAAAAGTTCACATTCTCTCAACCAGATCTAAGAGTCCCAGAATCCTGCATTATTTATTTTTTTGGATATACAACTTTAACCTGCAGAGAAATGTACAGTATATTCAATTTTGACTTTATAGTCACTTTCTCTAGAGACTACCTCAGAAAATAATTTTGAGGCAAGGCTGGGAGAGTCCTAGCACATGACCTCCAAACTTCAGATTAGACAAGATCTCTGCAAAGCACAGACCCCAACACTGATGTTACTTGTGTACAAGCTACAAGTATCAGTTGTTAGGTTATCAGCTGAAATATATGACCTAAAAACTGGTGCTACATTTAAAAAGGGGAAAGCTAAGTAGAACACAATACAATTCACATTTGACATTTTGCTTTTATATCAACACCAGATTAGACTTCTTACACAAGATGGCAAAGCACTTTGAACCACTGTTTATCAGAAGCATCTTCTCCAAGAGATATTTTATAAGCATAATGTTATAACAACGGTGAAAAAAGCACAAGCCAAGAAAAGTATTCATGTTCCAAGATATCCTGCTTTTAGACTTTAGATCAGGATGCACAAGATTAGGCCTGGGGGCCGGATGCGGCCCAATTGCCTGCTCAATCTGACCCACAGATGGTCTGGGAATCAGCGTGTTTTTACATGAGTAGAATGTGTGTTTTTATTTAAAATGCATCTCTGGGTTATTTGTGGGGCATAGGAATTTGTTCATTTCCCCCCCAAAAAATATAGTCCGGCCCACCACATGGTCTGAGGGATGGTGGACCGGCCTACAGCTGAAAAAGGTTGCTGACCCCTGCACAAGATCTTTGTGAGATTGATCAAAATAACACATTTTGTCTGGGTTTATCAACAGGGCACTTGAGCATATGTTCCACCACCCACATTTGTTCACCATTTACTCTGTTTTTGCAAAGTAGCCCCGATAATAGATGGTAACAATCCCTTGTGCAAGATTAGACAAGATGCAGAATACAGTTTGAGAATATTGCTGTAGCTTCTAGCTTACCTCAATCATATTTGCCATATATTGTACATGGCTGGCTAGCTCTGCAAGCTCTTCATTTCTTCTTTTAGACGAGCAATTTCACCATCTTTTAATTCAATTTCCTTATGGAGCTAGGGGGGAAAGCGGACAGAGTTTAAGCATCAATGGTAGTGAAAAGCTGATACTTTTGCTGATACTACATAAAATTACCTTTTCATTTTCTTGCAACACCTCATACAGAGCTTTCCTCCTCTCCTCAGCCAATTCCTTCCAATACCGAGATGAAGGATTGCCTGCAAAGAAATTAAGGATTTTAAAGTCCCCATGTGCACATCATAGAAAACCACTGTTAATGGTTTACAGTGAACGTGCAGGCAGGTTCTGCTTGCTCCTCCTAGTGTGAGCAATAAGCCATGATCCTTGGTTTTTGCATTCTGTCTGAACCAGAGTTTATGCTTTATTTGCTCAAATCAACCACAAATGGCCAGAGCAAATGTTGGCTTTACAATGTAGTTTGTTTGGAATGAAAAAATGCAACCCCCAGTTCAGACATAATGCCTTATAAGCCAAGGATCATCACTGATTGCTCCCACTGTGAGGAGCAAAGTAGGAGCCATCTGTACATTAATGACAAGCCATTAGCTATAGCTTACTGTGGCATACAAGTGCAACAACAAAGCTGGTGGATCATGCTTTGCATGCACATGGTTGAAGGTTCAATCCTTGGAATCTCCAGGTAGGGCTTGAAGCACAGGGAAACTGCTGCCAGTCAGTGGAACTTGATGGAACAATATAGAACATGATGGACCAATGGCCTGACTCAGGCAGCTTCCTATGTTCCTAGGACTGCAAACTATGGTATTCAAAATTTGATTTCTGGGACTCCCTTCCCATACTTTTGACTCAAGTCTTATTACTATTAAGAAAATATATAGCCAACTTTTCCACTGCAGAAACACTCAAGGAGCTTACAGTTACTAAAACCATCCACACACAAAAAAATACAGCATTAAAGCAGACAGGAACAGCAAATCATGACTTAAACATAAGAATTGCTGCTGATCAAGCTGCTTATCTCCATGCTTCCTTTTGATTAGACTAAGCCTGCTCAACTAGCTAAGAGTATTGGGGGGCCCCAATACATGATGTGTCAAGTCAAATGCCATCTGCAAAGGCAGTGTGGCACTATTACTAAGTGAATCTTCATTTCAATACAGTGCAGCAGTTAAGTGCTTTCCATATTCTGCCAAACTCGCCCAGTTTGTCAAAGCAGAAACAAAAACCTATGCATGCAAGAATGTGCATTTGAGCAACCACACTGAGAAGTGTGTACCATACTATTTTCTGTAGGTTCACACTTGCTTATCACTGGCAAAGTATCGAGAGGGAAAGAAAGCAGCAGAGGAGAGGAACAGAAGCAGAAAATGTTTTGCCCTATTTTCATCCCCTTTTTAGTCTATTTGAACCAACTAGTCCATTTTGTTCATATTTACCATATGTTACACAGTTTCAGCACAGCAACGCAAAAGGAAACCAGACAAATTCATAAAGGATAAAACCTGTCAATGGCTACTAGTCAAGTTGCATATATGTTACCCTCCAGATTCAGAGACAGAATACTTCTAAATACCAGTTGGAAAAGCCATTGCCTTCATGCAAGACTAGATAGATCTTGGGTCATATCCAGCAGAGCTCTTTCACCAAGACAATTCATGTTTACATATACCTTCCAGCTCAGCACTTATTAGAAGATTGTCACTGCTTTTTTTCTTAAGAAGCAACTTACCTTTTACTGTAAGATCGGAAGCCTGAACTCCTCTTACAGTTCTATATTCTGTTTCAACAGCAACTTCCGGTTTGGAAGCCTTTGAGGTAAGCTGATCACTCCAAAGTTTCCTCTTGATTGAAGATTTGGCCTGCTGAGAGTTTTATTAGTTGAGAATTCCAAGCAGGCATGTCTTAACAAGCCATTCTACCCACCTACTCAGTTAACCGTAAAACTATATTCCCACTTGTCATCTGGAACAAAGTTTTAGGGATTCAATGACTGAAGATGGATCTTCAGGTGCTTTCAACATAGCATTCAAACCCATTGGTACATGCAAGCCTATATACTGTGTAGACTAGCAATCTAATTGTATATTATCAATGAAAATTAACAGAACAGGCAAATTTCAGCTTAACTGTCAGCTCACTTGAGCTTTCTAGCTTCCAAAAATATATTGCTAAGATTGCATTCCAGCAGCAGTACATACCTCCTTTGCCCTTCCAACAAGACAACCTGTAATAGATGGCTGTATCATCTTAAGGGTCTGTCTTTGTGATGTGCAACTTTTATTGCTTGTAGAACTATTGCTTGTAGAAGCCTGCTTTGAAAAGAACACATTCAATTAATCTACTTCACCTAGGATTGAAGGTTGTCAATTCAAAATTTTCAAGAAAGCTTGTATTGACATTTAAGGGTTACATACATTTCAGTTACATGCAGTAAATCAGGTCATCTTTATACAAAACCGGATCTCACATGATATTAAACACAAGTTTTGCATCTTAAATACTGGCTTTTGAACTCTGTCTTAACTGCAGGCCTGATTTTCTGCTTAATCTCATTTAACCAATAAGGAGTATTGAGAGCACCTGAGACACACACATTTTTACATGACAAAAAAATTACTTGAGTGCACATTTCCTTTGATTTGTGCTGGGTGTTATGAGACATAACACACTGATCCAGCCAGGGTATTGTTTTGGAGGAACAGAATGTCTATCACCTTCCTTGCCATATGTAAATACCCATTTCCTGAGTTAGTTCTTTTTTAAAAAAATATGTTACACTGCCACCATGAGATAGCAAACAATGGTAGATAATCAAACAAGGATAGCAGGAACATAATGTCATACTAGCGTGAGAAAGTTAGCGATTCACACTGTACTTCACATGGCAAGAGCTCACCTTTCCCACGGTAAAGTTTCTACTGCCAATTAGCTGTACTATTGAACTAAAAGGACAAGTGCCAGGTACTCTGGGAACCAGCACTGTGCTACACTTCAAATAATACTTACTGCTGTTGAAGTAGCCAATGAATATTTCTGACAACTGCAGCCTATCACTTGCTTGGATTAACCTATTACTTTTAATATTTTATGTTTAACGAGGTAGT